ATGTTAACCCTTGCTCGATGGTATCACACCCCTAGTCTGAAATCGACTCTCTTGAGAACAACTAGGTTAAAGGTAAAATATGAGGGACTCAACCATTTTAATCCGTAATATTGATAATAGATTATCGAATTCTTTTCCGAGTTAATGGGTTATCAGATTATTATTTCCACTTGATCAGCTTTATGTGGAAAGCCATTAGCTTGGAAGCATTTTTGGCCCAAAAACTTAACGTGGAGGATATTGTAGGCACAAAAAAACAAACGGATGACAAAATTGATCTATTTTTAGTAGTTTAAGGATAATTTTAGACCTTTTTTGTAAATAATATTTACACAATTGAGTCATTATATTAGATAATTATATGTAAATCTCATGATATGCATCAATTAATAATTTAGTAAATATGGTAACTCTTATTATATGTTAAAATTAATTGATAAAGTAAAAGAATGTCCGTGGTCAAAAATAAAAATCACCATTATCATGAAGCTACCCAAAAATCACTGGTGTAAAAGAAAGGCTAGTGGAATTGTTGAAATCGTTAAAGGGTCATTTGGTACGAGAGATAAGGATAATAATCTAGAGATAGAATTTGAAATTGTAATTATCCTATTTTGTTTATAGGTATTAGGTAATACTTAGATAAGTTTTATACTTAAATGGTGGGATTACATATCCCATATAAAAGGTGGAATAATTAATCTCATAGGATATTCTTTGTTTATCTCATCATTGTACCAACAACCCCTAAGAGTTCAAGAGAAAAGAAAAAAAAAATTAGAACTTTTTGGTTTTAAACATGTTATACTCCCCCAGTCCAATTTATGTGGCATGAGGAAGAGGCAAAAAAGTTAAGCTATACCACCTTTCTTTCCCGTGGTAGATTGCTTTTTCTTCCTTTTTCCATACTTACAGAGGAAGAGATTGCAGGGTTTAATAGCCCATGTAGACTTCAAGATCTCTTGCTCTGCCTATCCTCCTACTTCTTATTTTGGAGGTCATAGAAAGATACGAACCGACTACTCTTTACAGTCCTATCAATAGATTAACTGAAAAATACTTCAAACGTCACACATATGCCGCCTACGTATTTAGGTGGCACTAGCGAGATCTAGAACTTTGTGTTGCGACTGCTCTAGTTCCAGTTTTAAAAGTCAAACTTTTTAATTTTGACAGTAAATTCGGACATAGAATATTTTAATTTTTTAAAATGAAAGTGACATATTTAAAAATTATGTAAAAATACTATAAATCGCAATTAATAACTATTCAAAAAAATTAAAAGACATATGATGGAATTGCGATCAAAGAAAAACTTGTTTAACTTTTGCAATTCGAACACCGACGCATAAATTGAGACGGAGGGAGCCATATTTTGTGTGACAATAAGATTTTTGAAACATGTAAGCTTAAATTTGATATATTATTTGTGTGCTATGAAAGCATCTCATTATGAGAAGATGGAAAGTTAATGTTAGATTGTTCTCAAATATATAAATATTTCATTCTTTTTTTAATGGACTAACAAGGAAATAATATCACGTGGACTAAAATCGCGGGAGCATATTCTTTTAAAAGTCAATATTTATGATGTGTGCTCTAGTGGAAATCCAGAATTAAGTGAAGAAAACGCCTGGCAAACTCCTCAATTCTTTCTAATCCTTCCCACTCTGAAAACAGAAATGACAGAATTATAAGGAAGACTGGCTAACAAGAATGAATTGAAAAAAATTAAACAGAAAATAAAGAAAAATAGTTAACTAGAATATAAAGTATAAACTGATCAGTTGTAGTCCTATATAGCATTAGGAGACATTAAAGTCTCCACATATTATACAGCCCAATATTTGCGGTAAAGAGATTCTTCAAACACAGAAACACCCCCATATTTGAGTTAAAGTGCAAGCACAGTAACTTTAACTTCCCTGAACTTTTGTGTTTTTGAATCATAAACCCCGAATTCATCAGTTTATTCATTGATGCAAATCAAAATAGCCGTCGAGCATTTTTGATTCTAATTGGAGGTTATTTTTATAATGGAGCGAATACATGTGTAATTTGGCCAACAATTAAAGATTACATTGTATTTGATGACTTGACAAGAGTGAGTTGTTCTAGTGGTGAACATACTCCACTTCCAACCAAGAAGTTGTGAGTTCGAGTTATCCCAAGAGCACGGTTGGGAGTTCTTGATAATACCAATTCTTATAACATGTGCTCTTACAACAAGGAATAAGTGGAGAAAAATCCTGGTAAAAGTGATTTGATCTTGCATATATACATGTGCTCTAATTCTAGCTAATTTTAAATTTCTTTCCACCCGGAAAACAGAACCAAACAGAAAAATAAGACAGTAAAAATGAATAGCTAACTCGAATTAAAAATAACAAGATTGTAGAAAAAATAGCTAGCTCGAATTAATGGATTAAAAGAAACAGAAAAAATGAACTTCTAAAGTTGAGTTGTAATCCTATAGAGCATTAGGAGAGATTAAAGTCTCCACATATGCTAGTGCAACAAATTCATCAACTTTAACTTGTTCGAACTTTCGTCTTTTTGAATCATAAATCAGGAACACAAATTCATTTTTGTTCATCAAAATCAACATATCTCCATCCTTACTAAAGCCCACAGGGCTGGTCCAATCTAGGGCACTCCAATTATGTACTACAAGCTTTGTAATAATTGCTCATTCCATTCTTTTCCATACAATACAAAACTTTCGAATCTTCCATCTCATTAATATGAGTCGAAGAAGCAGCCAAAAGAGCTGGATTTTTCATCATTAGAGCCCCATCTGGAAATATTATTTCCTCAAAAATTTCATTTTTCAAAGAGACATTGAATAATGCTCTTCGTGTGGGCAGTATCATATGTGATCATATAAACAAACCCATCATCTACAACCATTTCTCCCTAAGTAATCACATGGAGGTAACTTGCCAATCAGTTTCCACGAGTCAGTTTTAGTGGAAAATATTTCAACATTATTATAACCCTAACTATTTTGTAATCCTGAGAAGAAGAAACATAGCTTAAACCATAGAAATCCCTATTGTAAAGCTCCTCCTTCCCATCATTAGAGATTGGACTGGGGATTCTTCTTGATTCTCTGATGGTCGGGTTCCACAAAACAATATTGACAGAAGAGAAAACTAGAAGAAATAAACCATTGCAAGAATTCACAAATACACAAGTATTAGAATATAGTGCACTAAATGAATGATTGATATCTGGAAAAAGTGGAAGCTCAAGATGCGAGACAACAGAATCATGTTGAAGTGGTGCGTCTATGGAGTAGCAGTCGCAATGGTTCCACCTGTTCCACCCTTGTGGTCCGGCCCTTCCCCGGATCCCGCGCATAGCGAGAGCTTAGTGCACCGGGATGCCCTTTTATATCACTTTGGCATCAGTCACGGTGTTGCATAATGAATTGGCGATCTTTAATTTGAGAACACCATGATTTGCAAACGGGTTTGAACCTTAGAAGTGATTTGACAGGAAGTTTTAGCAGTATATCAATGGTGATATCATGGGGGAAGTTGTTTGGCATTATGATATCAGAACAAATTTTTGGCTCTGAGAATTGAGATACTGTTTTTTGATATTGAAACACTGTCGCTAGGATTAGGGTTTATTATAAGTGAAGCGAGCAAACTACAAGGACTCTTACATCTCTTTTGTTTATTTATTTTAGTTCTTTCACTCAACTTTGTCATGTGCCTATTTTTGCCTTTTCCTGGTGGGAGTAGGATTTCAATTTTACCACTTTTTTATTCGATTGAGCCAATATTTCTTCTGTCATAACCTGAAAAGTTTGCCGAATTCCTTTCGCGGCCTTGTCAATTTGCTTTTGATAGTTCTCATCAATTCCCAAGGTATTCAACTTGATGTTAGGATATTAGTCAAAACCAAGATCCTTACTTCCTCCTATAAGTATAATATCTACTTTAATTCTAGAACGCCAACAAATGAAGCGTTAAGAAAAATTTGCTCTGGAATCTTAAATAAGGCGGAGAGTAGCATGCTAATTTCCAGTATTCAATAGATGAAGGGAATAATGTGTTGACATTTTATTTATTTAGTTATTTACTATCTTTTCGGTTTTAGCCAACTGAATATGTAAAAGCTTGTGTTGCAAAGAGTAAAGTAAGTTTCACATAAATCTAAAAAAGCACAATATTTTTGGGGGAAAAAAATCCTTTTTAAGAAAACTGATACTGATATTGCATAGTGTTCACTCAGTTTAGAAAAAGTTAAAAGAAATTCGCAGAGGATATTTGAGTCCCAAATAAGTGTGCTTTTCAAGTAGTAAAAAGCTCAAGAAACTTTTCAGAATAGTACTCTCTCGTGCCATGACAGGATTTTTTTTTTTAGTTTTGGTAAGAGGGAAAACCAGCAGACGCTACAACCTCTGCCTTTCGGGTAGCCTGCAAACCACACAGAGGATGTAAATCGCACTAGGCAATGGGTAGCCTGCAAACCACACAGAGGATGTAAATCGCACTAGGCAATGGGTAGCCTGCAAACCACACAGAGGATGTAAATCGCACTAGGCAAGCCTTGTGCGACAGGCTTAACTCAAAAGGCATTGAGGGGGGATTCGATCCCAGGTCAACCATATGGATGACCACCCTCCAAACCAATTGGGCAACCCCGAAGGAAGTTATAAGATATTACATGAATTAATCATGAAGATATCAATCGCACATAACAAAAATATTAGTACAATTTATTTAAACTTTCTCGAAACAAAGGTGAACCTGGAACCTTACTTAAATAAGGTGCATCTTGACTTTAATGCAGCAGGCAAGCAACTGTGAAGACATATATACAAGATGGGTGTTGATATGTGTGCAGCAATTGTGAAGACATTCCAAATTAGTTAATATTAATTATATAGTTATTTTTTGTATTTTTCCCTTTTTGTTCAAACCAAATTAAGATATATGACATTGCTAACAAAATTTGAAAAATGCAAAACGAGCGGACAATTTGAGGATCATAAACTATTAAGATATCTTTCCACTGTAATTTTTGTACAGGTTTGATGCATTGACAATTTGTTTTACTGCATGAAATACATGGCGGGAGTTCTGCTTTTTTCTACCCTAGAAGCATATTAATCTACATTTAACTGCTATATTAAAAAAAAAAACACTTTAACAGTATAATACAGCACTTATATTACTGAAGAAATTCGCGAATTCTTACTGGTCTCTTGACTGCATTGGTGTACCCCTGCATAGAATGAACAAACAAACTGCTGAGATCAATTGTCATTCACTATCCAAAAGCCAAGTCTAATCGTGTATATGATAATTAAGTAGCATCGCTAAAGCTAGATGGCACCAATACAAGTTAAGACGGGAGACTTTATTTGGAGTTCAAGGATATGAAAGATAGTACCCTAATTTGGATAGTCAGGATAGTAAATGTAGATTGATTATATACCTCGTTAAATTTAAATAGCAAAGGCCGTGAATCCCTCTCCGATTTTGGTCCAGGTTTAGCATCATTCATATCTTGAGTAGCTTTGCCACTTGGCTTCCTAAACCTGTTTAACGGAAAATCACCATGAGGTAGATGCATTTACTTACAATGAAATGCCGGAACATGCTTCTCAGCTGACTATAATTTCTCCCAAAGATGCATCAAGCAGCATGAGATGAATCTAAACAAGGCAGATGCATTTACCTAGAGATAAAATACATCAAGTGATGGCCTCCTACTGAAGTGAGACGTAACTATTGCAACAAATATTGATCCATTAAGCTTGTTGAAAAGAAAATAGTTATGGAGGTGAAGAGATCAACCACAGTACATAAACAGCAAAAGGTTTTAAGAACAGTATTTTTTATATTTGTGTGCGTAAGCAAGCTAGAGAGCACAGATATTAACAACTTTGTCCATATAATTAAGGCTTGCCTCCTCTTATCCTCTATTACAATTTCCAAAGGTTAGCTTGTCCCTCAGACGTAAAGGGTAAAGGTATGCAGGCTTTTTCAATAACTACTATTGGCTCGAATATTTCTGGCTCATTCTGCTTGATTTTTACTTAAACTGCACATGAGGCAGTCAAAATAAGACAAGTTTGGTAACCGATGGGTGGCTATTTCTAGGAAATGAGCCTCACTTGGGACTTTGAGTCAGATATACACTTAACTAGGATCTATCTAGCTGGTACTTATTATTTTCCACTAATAGTCCAACCACTTGACTGAATTTGTTCTTTAAAACCCGTGTGAAACAGAAACAATGAGAGGGGAGCCTGTCCTGCCTCAAATTTATCAAACTAAAGTTGATAATGATTCAATTACTTATCAAATAATTGATTCCAACAGAAGATAGATGAATGTAAGGCTAATAATACCTGTCAAAAAAGGAACGAGAATCGACAAAAGGTTTCTTCTTTCCTTCAGGCAAGCACATTTTTCCGCTAGCTGCGGTACCTCCACTAGATCGTTTATTCTGACTAGAAGTGCTAGGCAAGTCATATTGCTTTTGCCTAGAGGGGTCTCTTAAATGTATTGTTTTATCCAAAGAAGCTGATGCTTCAGACGGTGTACTGCTATTCCCGCACCTCAAAACGTCCTGACTTTCCACACCTGTGGGTGGTGAGTGAAGGTTGATACTTCCTTGCAAAATTTTTTGCTTTTCCACCTAAATTAATGTTCCACATGTAGACGAATATATGACATAAAGATCTGAATTCTGATAATGAACCACAAAAGCAACATAATCTAGAAGTCTGGAAAATCACACGGGTTACTGGTGATGGTAATTGGATAATGAAGAATGTCACTGGAAACTAGACACGCACATCCATACAAAAGAGGGAAATGGAGACTTAAAAACCCCATAAAAAGGAGATGCTTCATAGGAGAAATTACCAAAAGCAGAGGAACAGGTGGAATGCTTGACTTGGATGAAGACAATTGTGACAGACTGAGTTTCAAATTCATTTCTATTAGCACTGAAGTTTGTGTCACAATATAGGAGATCTGAAAACTGCATACTTGGTTATATAGAATATTTCTCATTAAGGAACCTCAATGAGAAATATTGCAGTTCTATTAGAATTTGCATTGTTTCAGACAGCTAATTTGTACGAATAAACTTTGGAAATAGCCATTTCTCATTAATATCAGAACAACCCGTACTTTGAATGTCAATATGCGGAAAGCTGATCCGCTTTCTTGTCCTATAATGGTCGATCCTAACCACACTCTCTTAGCATAAAGCATTAAAAAATTAAATGTTTCAACAATACTACTTCTCGTTTACTCAAAAGAGTGTGTGTGTGTGTATGTATGTATGTGTGTGTGTGTGTATGTATGTATGTGTGTGTGTGTGTGTGTGTGTGTGTGTATATATATATATATATATATAGATAGATAGATAGATACAGATTACACCTATCAATCTGAGTTCAGATTTCAATCGTAGGAGGTACTTGGTCGATGCTCTCCATTGAAAAGTACTAGAAGTACATATTTCCTACTGATATAAGAATCTCTAATAAGGCTAAAAGACTCCTAAAAAAGCATAGGACCTAAAGTAAACATATGAACATGACTAAAATATATTCCCATCTAATTGGTATCACATATATATTGTGCCCTATCCTTCACTAAGTCCGCATTGATTCCAAGAGATTGTAGATCTTATGCGACAACTTCCTTCCTAGTTATATGATTAGTCAATGTCACCTAATGATTGACAACATCAATGGGTAGATACTGTACATGGAGGACTAATCCTGCTACCACCAACTCCTCCCCATAGATCCAACCCATATTCACTGATGTGAGACAAGTTTTGGTTCTATATACGCGCCAAAAGTGAAATAACTTGGTTTTTTCCAGCAACAGAGTGCACTAAATTTCACAAGCAAAGAGTTGATAATGCTCCTCTACTTACCTCATGTACCAAGACCAGTTTCACAGCCGATGCCAGAACAAGATGACAGGAATTGTAACCCTGTCCAAAAGCAACAAATCAAAGAGAAAACAGATGATATCTTAAGTTCTTCCATTTTGAGACGATAATGGGATATAAAGATTATTCAAAACTAATTTCCTATTGTGGGTGCAGTTGACCATCCTAACCTTGAAGTTCATAAATTCACCAACTGGGGGATCCAATGAAAGCATTGATGCGTCTGAAGCACCATATTGCATACCCAGTGAAGGATGAGATTTTATGTTCTTGTATGTCGTGGCATAGGAAACCATTATATTTACTAACTGAGCCAGATCAGTTTTTTCTTTCTCTGAGAGTAAATGCAATGCTACCTGCAAAGGATGAATGTATCATTTCCAATTCTCACCAATAGGTGAACCCAACACATGTAAAGGAATAACCAACTCGGCCTAGCTTCCACAACAACTACAGCCTAACCATAAATAAACATAATTAAGCAGAAGACTAGTAAACTAAAAGAAGCAGTAATCACAAAATCAGTTCTAAAGAACGAAATGTTTTCTTTCCCATTCTGGCGAATATCTTTTCAAAACTCAAAGGTTTAAACACTGCTATTTTTACAAATAATAAGTAGACAAAGTCTGGGTGCAATCCCTTTCCAAATATCGTAATGGACAAAACCCTAGACAACACTATTCAGTAGTCAAAGCCAAAAGCAATTTATGTGTAACTAAAATGGAAAAGGAAACTTGAGTGCAACTAAACCAACAGATACTTGACAAGAATTACCGGTTTCAGTGTTGGTGGGGACAGTATATGTAGGAATGGAGAAATCAAGTCTTCCACAAAGGATTTAGTTGACAGATGCCTAGAGATGCATGGTGATATCTTGTTCTTCCATGAATGTAAGATTTCCTTCTTTTCTATTGACATTGTTCGATATCTGCAGTTAACGGTGATAAGAAACAACAGTCACCACTGTTAATATTTAGGATGAGCATCCAGGGAAAGCTGGCACTACCTTTGGAAAGACTTAGGCCATTCAATATTTGGTTTTCCAATTTGAGCTATGAGACTATGTATAGATATTGCAAGAGGAGGCTGATAAACTGCAGAGATAGAAAAAATAAAATAAAGCTTAGAAAAATATTAAACTTCAAGCAAGCAGATGGTAGTATTTTATTTACCTTGAAGGGAGAAATGTTGAGTGTGCATCGTGTATTGATGAAATATATCAGAGCAACCAAGAATATCTGAGCATTTGACCTTCAAGATAAGTGATTAGCATATATGAGATATAGCAAAAACTAGATGTGGAAGATCAGATGAAGCTAAAAGAACAAGGAAAAGCAATTGCAGTACTCGATCCACTTACTGTCTTTTGCATCACAGGGTCCGTATAATGGAGTTGCAAAATGTTCTCATGGATCCCATCCAAAATTAAGTCATAGTCACCACTGAAGAATCATCAAAGATTAAACTAGATAATCCAGAACTTCAAACAAAGGTATTCCAACTTTTCACCTACCGATGAGATATTAGAGAGTGCAGTGTCTCAAAGTCATTCGACATACTGCTGAAGCAATTAAAAGATTTCTTTGCTTGCTTTACTTTCCTCTTTTGCAAAATCTTCAAAAAATAATAATAATAAACAGATAGAGGGTCAAAAGAATGATCACAGAAAAAAAAAAAAAAAAAAAAAAAAAAAAAAAAAAGGAAAAAGGTATGTCTACCTAGCTAGAGAAAGCCCGTGTGAAATTATAAGTTATTAAAAAATTAAAGTAAAAGAAGGAAAACCGTACCCTTGAAGATTGACACTTGATGAAGCATCAAGAGAAGANCAGATATAGATAGTTTGCTTACTTCTTTCCAAATATCAAAAGCACTTCTTGCTGCATCCTTCCGTCCAACAACTTGAGAACTGAGCTCCAACTAAGTTTAGAAAGAATGCATTACTCATCAAAACAGAGAAGATAGAAGGATGTGCAAGAGAAAAGCTTCAATAACAAATAAAGGACCCTAATTACAGTGAAATTTATCTCAAGTCAATTGAAAATTTCAGTCATAATATAATGTAACCAGAATCCGTCTTGAAAGCATAACACTTGTTTTCTACTTGAATTTGAAATTTTTTCAGAAGTTGAATGCATTGCGCAGCAAAAGAAAAAAAATATATACTCTACAAGAGAGTCCTTAAGATATCACGATGGCTCAGTAGAAATTAAATAATGGCTATGGATGAACCATGAACTAGTATACCTAGAATTCAAATAATAAATGAAGGGTCTGATTATTCAAAAAATAAACAGAGATTTAGACAATGAGCAGATGTTACATGCCGTTCAGACAATACAAGTTAGTTCAGACAATAAACAGAGGCAATATTTTATCTGATAAGCACTTTCAAACTCATCCTTGATGGAAAGCTAGTTGCAAGAGATCTTACACATCTTAATACTATGATTTCTACCAATTCTCAACCTTTTTCCTCTATCGGACTACTACCACAAAAAGAAAAGCATGATAACTATAAAGCCATACCACATTAAGAGTCTCCTTCTTCTTGTTAAGAAACTGAAGGGTGTTCAGGCACGATCTTATGTCACATTCTGGAAAAATAATCAGACATCAATTTCAAGTTGCTGATTCACAGTAAAACATACTTCGTAAGATTTAACACTTCAAAGCACGAGAAAAGGAAAATTGCAGGACATCGAGTAAATCAGCAATTAGAGCAGCTGAATAAATATCCAATGAGAAGACCTGTCACTAATTCGAAAGAAGATTTTGCAATCTATATCAGTTTCCCCCCACCAGAATAACAATTTATTTTTATGACATGATCAGTAAAGTAAGAATACCGTCTATATATATATATATATATATATATATATAGAGAGAGAGAGAGAGAGAGAGAGAGAGGGAGAGAGAGAGAGAACCAAGATGATGTGCTCAAAAACGTACAGCAAGGTAACAAAGGCGAAGAAGGAATAGAAAACAAAACGCAAAAACTAAGGTGTGCTAAAAATTGCAAAAACTCTTCAACCTTGCTGCACATTCTTCCATGCATCAAAAGGTGTATTCAAGTATTTGGTGTCAGCATGCATCTGGTGTCTCTACATTTTCAAAGCACCCAACAATTCTATCATAAAATTTGATGAGGCACAAGTTCCCCTAACCTTTGTTTTATCAACTCCCATCAAATAAATCATCTCAGAAGGGTGGTATAACCCGCTGAATCCCAAAATATATAGAAAATAAACCAGGGGTCCTTTACACCATTTAGAAGGGCAAAGAGACATATAACTGAAAAGACTCCCTTCTCATTGTCTTTAGCAAACAAACTGCCTGTTCCCTCCCATATAACTGGGAGCTTATACCCAAGTGTGAACGAGTCATAATCTGTGTGGATTATAATCGTTACTAGCTCTGCTAGTGACATCTGTGGTCACTCCATCACTACTGTTGGACATAACTGCAGGTCCAAGGCATTATTCGCAACAAACTAAAATTGTGCAGGAAACGTATCTCTTAGAAAGATTACCAGTCCAGAGATCACCACAAAATTTAACATAGCAGCCATCCTAAAAGAAGAATAACAGACTCAAGTTCCTCCATCAGTTATCCATCTTTCTCATGAGCAGACCACCATAACCATTTTCCCAGAAAATTTTGAGTTGGTTTCTTCAGCCCCTTCATACCAAAGCCACTGTGTCTGAAAGGTTTGAGTATCTCATCCCATTGAACAATGCTTAAATTCATCTCACATGCCTTTTCACAATAATTCCCTCCTCGCTTTACCAAGTGTTCAGTAACTGATGTAGGTAGTGTGTATATAGAGAGGAAGTGGCAATAGTGCTGAGAACACTTTTAATGTGAGTGATTCTGCCTCCTTTAGAAACACTGTCTCTTCCGCTAATCTTTCTCAAACTAATTAACATCAAACATATAAAGTTTATTCCCTGAATATAGCCCTACAAAGGTTGACTCAAATAGGTAATTAAGATATTCTGTATACAGGTATTTGCATATGTGAGTAAGCAAGTGTATACATCACTTTTCAATAGTCCTTTTGGCAGCCCCTCCACTTGTTAATAATTTATCGTGCATCAGATACTCCAAATAAATTTTTGTTTCGGGGGAATTGCAGCCTAGGATGATCATTTCAATTTGGTTCGAATGACAATCGGAACTTTTTCTTGCCACAGCTACGTGATATTGGAAGTTCCGAAGGCGGCCAATAGGCAGGTAAAAAGTGCTTAAATTCCCTGAAAATAGTAATCTAAATGTTTGGTCTGGCACTTTATACAGGTTATTTTTGCAAGCTTTGAACTCAATGTATATCAATTATATCATACGATATTACACCACATCTCATCAGAGAAATTCAGATTTCATAACTGATATCTGCAAACAAAACGACGGAATGGCACTCACCGGTATACTCTGCTAGAGCAGTAAGAGCGATGGAGCTTGTCTTCACTCCTTCTTTGTTACATATATATTTGAGCCTACAAAAGTAGGCTTTGTTAGATTTATGCATATCTTTTGAATATACTAGCACTGCTAAATAAAAACAGATTGTTCTATGACAGGTCTAAACTAAAGCAAGGACAACTGAAAATTGGAACAAGATAGGTGCTTATTACCAATATGTGTATACTTCTTAAAACATAAAGGACTCATGGAATACGTGAAAGTGTCAATACTTTTTGATTTATAATTTGGAAATGCCAATCACCCAATTCCCAGACCCCACAATGTGGGATTACACCGAGTATGTTGCTGAATCACCCAATTGATCATATACAAGAAATAAGAACACAAAACAAAAGAGAATCGGCAGAATACTTTTGATGCTTTATCAGATTCTTTCAATTACCTTGTCAGCCAAGATATAACTTTCCAATAGTATCGACAGGAAGAGTTATACAAGTCATTAATATAGCATGACTTTTGAGAGAGCTAAACCAAATAAAGTTCTCTTTTGTCAATATGATAGGCTAAGAAGCCCTTGGAAACATAGGACTCCCAAAATAAATATTGTTAACGCATGTTTGATAGCAGCATACATATTGCAGAAAACATTCAGACTTGCAAGTTTGGATTTTTATTACCCCCCTCAATCTGCGTTATCTTAAACTCCATTCACGTGAAATTTGAAATCCTTTACAAGCCGTAAGATTCAATCAGATGCATATCCTTTTGTTGATGTCTAAGAATTTTGTAATGGTCATCTACATATGTAAATACCCTCAACTTTGTCTGACAGGAAGTCCTTCCTTTTTGTGACTGTATGACTAACAACCATTGGCTTTTAGATATTTTATCCGGTTAACTTGGACAAAATATTAGACTTTGGCGAGTTATAGGTGTCAAATCTCCTAACGATTTGAAATCTCTCATTTCACTTGGGGCCATGCATTCTTTAAATCTGAAAGATGGCTTATGCTTGGACGTTAATCCGGTCTCCCTGTAGGTTTACCTCATACTCTACCAAAGCAGTTAATCATGCAAAAAATGGAAAATAAATTCCAGAGGATTCATCTGATAATTTAGTAGCAAGTACCTGTTAACAACACGACTTACAGTTGGTTGGACAAATACATGAACCCTGCAATTCCAACCACATAAATAAGTACTTTGTTAGTTATGTAATTACCCTCCCCAGACCCCATTTAGTGGGATTTCACTGGGTTGTTGTTGTTAGTTATGTAATTAGATATAATATAGAGAACTATGTGAAATTGTCCTACAGATAATCATTAACATTTGACTACAAAAGGTATCAGGGTCATACACAAATAGACTTCATATGTTACTAGAAGTATCTAACCAAATGATCTGCATAATTGATCCCAACTAGTTTAGGGGTGGAAGTTTAGTTGATTGATTAAAACTTATTGAAGTTGAACCTCTTTTCTGAAAAATCTAAAAAGGAAACTTAGGAAATAGTTGAACCCAGAGTCCTTCTATGTCAGTCTTGTTTCATTATAATCAGATAGATATCGAGGATGCTTTCTTCCACAGATTACTTGCTAAGGAAGTTTATACGGAGCAACCGATAGGCTCTGTAGCACACACGGAGTCTGAACTAGTGCATCAATTGCACCATTCACACACAACAATTGATTGGAATATGAGGAGAAAGAAAGAAGGAGAAGAAAGAAAAGAAGAGAAAAGATTAACCTTGAAGACACATGGGGATCACATAGGTGGTCACACTGGTAAAGCAACAAAATCGCCAAGCTGCTCTTTATTTCTAAATTCCAGTAAAAACTACTTGATTTTTACAACCTCTTGGATTTGACCCATGAAAATTAATTTATAGAAAGCACAGTAGGTTTCACTTTTCCTGAAACATCATCTATCTCGAAGGGTGTCAAACAAAGACAAAGCAGATACTTATCAGAAAGTAGTGAAGTAAAATAACATTGAAACAAAATCTATATTCTCAATGTTTCACCCTCCATTCTTCTATAAATACTTTGTCTGACATGGCTTTTGTCATGGACCTAGTATTTAGGTCAGAACTCTAGATGCTAATCTATGTACTTCAATCTGATGTCTTGTAAAATTTAAGCATTACTTACTTTGCTATCTGACGCAAAGGCCTTAAGGCAGGAGCATAAAGGTCATTACAAATGCAAATAACCTGCAAATGAAGCACAACAGTTGAGATTTGAGAATGCCATGACTACAGACAGGTTAATATACAAATGAGCATTTTTAGACAAATCCACTCTTACAGGTCTTAGCAAGGATGCTTTTTGGTGCCTCTTTTTTGATGATGACTTCTGCCCAGCATTTCCTCCATCAGGTTCATTTTCTTTGCTAGCACCCAATTTTCTTTCAGCAGAAACCTGCATTGTGAAAGTACACATTATTATTCTATCAGAAACATGCATTTGGGTAGGCTGTCTACATCACACCCTTTGGGGTGCGGCCCTTCCCCGGACCCTGCGTGAACGGGGGATGCTTTTGTGCACCGGGCTGCCCCAGAAACATACATACTGTCAAGGAAAAGTTACAGGTCGACTCAAACGTTGAAATTCACTTCAGATTAATTATGAAAAATGTATGGTGCCACAGAGCACTCCATATTACTGATATTAGCTTTCTATCAAGTTCCTACAGACTAACTTATTATAGTTAGCAGTACCAGGTGCACGTTTTTCCACAGGTCTTTAATGATTTCGAGTCATAATCTGCATTACCTAATAAAGCTAGGACTAGAAATCTTACATTTCAATGAATTAGTTTATCTTTGAAGATTCACACACACACACACACACACACCAAATAAAAGAGAAAAGAAAAGGATCAATGAGTTATTAGCTTTTATAAAACTTGAACATATCCTTCTCCAGAAAAGAATAAGTTGAACATATCTGTATCATTCAAGCTGTAAAATAAATAGCAAAGTATACATGCAAAATATATACTCCATTGAAAATTAATTAGCAGTAGGTTCAACCGATCTTAAATCAATCTATGTATGTTCAATTGAAGTTCTTCACAAATCTTGATTTCTTTATACGTCTAAAGTTTTGAATATGATACAAGCAAGAGGGGTATGTGGTGCTGAAAATGGCCCATATGACTCTTCCGGAGACCGTCGTATTACTGTAGCTCAATACAAAAAAATTAACGCAGGGTTTTCCTACAGCTATAAGTTATTAGCAGTCATACTGGGATTACTAAAATTACCAGGGTGAAACAAATCAAAAGCAAATACGAAAATTACCAATTTTAGGATGACCTCTACAGCTCCCTTTCCATCATTAAGAGCCCCATCTATTTCATCAATAACCTAGAACAGCAAAACATGAATCATGATTCAGAAATAAAAACGTAGGTTCAGCTGAGAAAGATTTGAAAAAATCAAAACTATATTCTGACAAAAAATTTGGGCTTTGAATTATCAGAGGAAGATTTAAAATCAAAAACCACAACAATAAACTGACCAAACATTTGGGCTTTGAATCAGCATTTACAGAGTTCATTTGAACAACATCATGTATTTTAGCTTCAATACTGGAGGATGATCGATCATCACTTGCATTAATCTGCAAAGGAAGCATTTCAATCAACAGATAAACAGACATCTATTACTTCAGATTAAATTGATTCAGAGGATGTGTAAGGTTGGAAGTAGGTATGAAGGCATTTTGAGTTTATGTAGCTCATATTCAGCAGGGAAATCAAGTTTAGTCATCAACATATCAACGAAACTTGAGAATAGCCAAGCACACACTAGAATGCAGGCATAGCAAAGGGCATCTGCTGGGTACGGGCTTCTAGTATGTAGGTCAAGTTGAATTGCACATGTTTTCTTTCATCTGAACTGGTTTAAAGAAAATACAATTCCCGGGAAAGTTCTTATCCAAAATAAGAGACATAAACCACTAGCACCCAGGGTTGTAGCATATGTAGAATTTAGGTCTGAGTCAAGTAAACTTGTTATTCTAGCACATACTAAAGAGTAGAATAAAATTAAATGACCTTTTCAGATCCTTCATGGTAACAAATTAATTCATAAATGTCATTTGCAATGTGCTACAATCTCTCACCAGATCTCTTTAATTATTACAATAATAAGATCAAAAGGAGTCAAAGTTCAAATAAACAACTATACGGGACTGTTTGAAATGAGTGAGTTACAAGACCTCAACCACTCGATACCCACAATGCTGAGCAGCAACATGTGCAAGTGTTGTTTTCCCAAGCCCAGGAGGACCGCAAAACAAAAGGACCTGCAAGCAATTGGTTTCTCACAATTTAGAAAAATCAGAATAAAAATGAGAAAGAAATAAGGAACTAATAAACAGAGGACAAGCAGGTGATAAGTATACTGTATAAAACTTACATTATTTCCATATATGCAATATGTATTATACAGGATTGGGGAGAATAGTGGCTAACTTCAAATAATAGGAATATGACCAAAGATGCAAAACATGAAAGTGCATAATGAGAGATCATCTGGCATCTGGACCACTAATCTAGGACTGCATTAAGAAGTAGAGGACGGCTATTCAAGGCTTTCAAGCGTCCTTGTCTACCTTCTCAGCAAATCGAAGCTTATAAAGCCATATCTGAATCGGCGATTTTCAATGGTCCACCTAGACAACCTTCCAGAGACCACTTTGAACTTAGCTTGAAACACATCAACCTGCTACAATGATAATATCCACTTATCTACAGCACATAAATAAATACTCTCTCTGTTCCATTTACATGGCACTCTTTCTTTTTTCAGTATGTTCTAAAAAGAATGACATTTTTTTATATTTGACAACTTTTTAGCATTAATATTTCCATTTTATCCTTAATGACATGATGTTGGGAGAACAAGGAACAGATCGCGTCACAGGGCGATCGACTGGGAAATCCAAGTTAATAACGTCTCCTTCCCTTTGTTCTTGTTTCTTAAATGCCCTATTTTTGATTAATCACTCAAGCTCATTGAGGGAGCTTGAAACCTTGGACCTCGTTGAGAAAGAGAGAGCTCCAGATCTATGCAATTCTTTGATAAATCTGCTTGCCCACTTTTTAATTAGTACGGTCCTTTAAATAGGACTAGCTTATTACAAAGAATAGGGCGATTCATTGGGAAAACCAAGTCCACTAAAGTCCCCCTCCCCTTTTTCTTGTTTCTTGAATGCCCTATGTTCAGTTAATCATTCAAGCTCATCAAGGGAGCTTTAAACCTTGGACCCCGTTGAGAAACACAACCAAACACATGGTGAAAAGTAACAAACAGTTGGTGAATCAAAAATAGGAATGTTTCAGATGATTAGGCAGAGTATGACTTCAGATTAGCTGAGCTTGATTTGATCACAAATTGTTGGACCACCTACCTCAAAAAGTAGAGCAGAGCCAAGATGATAGGAAACAGCTGTCAAAACTCAAGAAAATGACACATGAGAGGCTGCTGAGTAAAGAGAGATGATCACCAATCACTAAGTGCAGAAGCAATGGCAGACCCCTTTCCACCACTCCCCAGGCACTTTAACAAGAATAAAAGGAAAGTATCACCTAGTAGTAAAGTCTCTTTTTTTGTTTGAATCAGTAAAGGTATTATTCATAAAGGTACCAAGATGGTACAAAATAAAGTACAGGACTCCAGAAAGACCAGAACATACTGCACTACATCACATAAGCAACTACATCCTTTCCCCTAACAAATCTAAGAAATCCATATGTTGATCCATACTCCCAATATTCCTAAGTAAAGTCTCATTGAAAAAGAGGAAAAAGCCAGCAGTTCAATAAATGGCAGGAACAGTTTCTAGGTGTGGAATTGTGGTGTCAACTCATTGCTTATCTTATGGCTTAGTGGTTTTATCCATCCTTGGTTTCATTGGTGTCTTATAGCTTAGGGGTTTTACCATACTTGGTCTCATCGCTTGTTGACTGCATCATAAAATTACTAATATTTGAGAAGATGAATATTTCAAAAGAAGACATAAACATTTCCTACAATAATATTGTGGAACATGAAAAAGAAGAGAAGATCAGTATCTACTCTTCCATCATATGCTTATATTTAAAAAGAAATCAGATCAAAGCAAGCAACAAAGCACACCAGCTAAGGGTCATTTCAAACAAACTATAAGATTGACAAGGGAGGGATAACCTAGTAGTAAGGGCCATGCAACTCCAACCATAAGGTTGGGGCCCTTGGGGGTCCGAGTCACCAATGGAACAAAGTGGAAAAGAGCCAGTTTGACTGACCTTTTGTTCTGGAGGACCGCCTTGTCTGTGCTTCTTGTCCCAAAGGTCCTTAATTCCGTTCGAATCACTATTCTCTGGATGCAAATCATTATGAGCTCTCTCATTGTCTATACTGGGTTCTCTGGTATTTCCAAAAGAACTCCTAGAAGAACGTCTTGGATGTTGAATAACTGACGAATGCCGTTTCAGAGAAGACAAGACATCATCTGTAGTACTTTTAATTTCAACCCCAAAAACACAGGAATCCCACTGCTTCAACCACATTAATACCTACAAAAGAGTGACCAGAAAAGTCAAAACCCAAAGCAGAATATCTATAAGGAAACACCTAAAAAATGATAGGTGAAAACGCTTCAATTTTTTAAATGTAAATACTAAGTAGAACCCATTATAAGAATAAATGAATATGCAGTACCTGACGATTTGTTTGCTCATCACTGAGAAGCTCTGTAAATGAACTAGGAGCATATTTATCCACCCAAAGTTGCTCATGCACTACAGTTCCTATTGGGAGATTTGCTTCGTTTAGATCTTCAGAACTAGCTTCCAGGGCCTTTAAGACAAAGGAGGAAAAATTTCAAGGAGGAACAAAGATCTTACACATAAAAAACACAGAAAATTTTTCGGAAACTTTAGCTGCAAAGGTTAATGCTTCATTTGACAAGTCTCCAATCCATCCAAAGGAACAAGGGGAGAAGGCATAGAGACAACCAGTGAACGGACAAAGATATTATCCCTCCTTCAAAAGCAGTGATACAAAATGAGGAAGTCCTGTTAGCATATTCAGTGCACTAACCCTCAAATTCGTATGGGCACAATAAAATAACAGGGAAAAATCCATGGAGAACCAAAAAAAGAAGGAAAATGATGCAGGACTTTCAGAAAGAACTATAATTGACAGGATAGGGAAAATACCTCCTTTCTTCTTCTTAATAGTAGTTTATAGTTGAGAATTCTTTTCCTGTTTTCCTCCATTTTAATGTGCAAGACATTTCAAAACTGTTGTGACATTTTCAGAGATTCGGGAAACCTTATACAGAAACTCAACTCTTGTGAACTGATCGTGTTTCATTTCCATTTCATAGTACTACTTGTTATTATTTATTTCAGTGATACGTATGCATTGAATTGTGTTCTACTCATGGACTCCAGAAGAATCTGTAAATATCATAGAGAATTTCAATCTTTCTTCTGTTTCGATTTGATAAGATCATTCAGAGTAAATTTAGCTTTATAGTGGAGACTGATTTGAGCACAGTTGATAGATTGATTGATTGAATGATAGTGGAGCATGGCTGGTCTAATAGAAACTGCACCTTTGTGAATTGGTCGTGTTCCACTCTTTGCATTAGGACCCTGACAGGTTCCTGAATAAGACCTGTAGAACATCAGCACTTGCTTAGACATTCAGCCAAAAATTTGGAGATTTCAGTAACAAAGATGGAAAGACAGCACAGAGCTTGTTAACAAAATGTAGAGGATGGCTTATTATGTACAGCACAAAGATGATTTGGAAGTACTTTCACATTAATAAGCTTTTAGAGTAGGTAGCAGAATGTTCGATTAACTCCAAAACCAGATCGTATGAGAATTTCCTTTATGCCTGATACTTAAGAGGACGGCTATTTTTTTTCAGGCAATGCAATTTAAGATCATATATATAGGTAGTTAGGAATCGTTTACCCCTCTGCTGCCTATCTCTCTCTCCGGTCTGCATCTCTCCGATATTATCGTGTCCCTGCCTCTGTCCATATGGATTATCCTTAATCCGCTATGACCAAAGGTCTCATGGTTACCATAGACTATTACAACAGACGCTTAAAAAAGAAAGTTTATATGGTCATATGCAAAAACAGCACTACGTAAATGTTACATTTCATAACTGAGTAAATGAAACATACAGCATCCCCCTTTACTTGACAATCATCCAATTAAACTAAGAAAACACTGGAGGAATAGGCAAAAGAGTTAAAAGAACGCAAAAAAAATTACGTGACGGAAAATTCATCGGCTTGCATTTCAATTCCCTTTCTTTTTCAAAATTTCTGACCATAATCGAAATTCACTTATCTACACTTCCTTTTTGTGTTGGCAACTCTCTTTGCTTACTCCGTCAACAACCCTACAGCAGAAACTTTAACCCAAAAATTCATGCATCTTTAACCAGTCTACTAATACCAAGACACCAGGACATCGAATCCATTAATTAGCTTATTTCCCAGTGAAAATGAGACAAAAGAACAAAGTGAATAACTAGTCAATCATACTAAATTATTGATTGGATAAGTGCATCCAATCCATTCTAACTAGGAAAAAATTGGAAAATTTAACTTAGCATAGGCGCATGACATGGTAAGTGCGGATAGAGTTCAAATTCCATACACTATTTACACAGTCAGGTCACTTGTTAGATAATTACATGTGAACCTCTTAGATAAACATTATTGTTAATCTGATAAAAATGGTAACTAACTCGTTATAACACGTTAAGTTTTTTATGGAAAAAAAAGGCAGAATTATTGATATTGATAAGAAAAGAAATGAACTTGCTCACCAATAGAATCACGGGCCTTAACCTCCAATTTCTTAACCCTTTCATTTTCAACTCTACATATCTTAGCATAAACCCTCTCACCATCCAAACCGGTCACCGGTACACAATCCCCGTCAATCTCCAAGGCGTACTTCGCCAAAATCTTCTCTTCCTGTTCCACCAGCACCACCGGTTCCTCCTCCTCAGGTTGCTTCGGAGGCGAATACCTAAGCCAATCCTCATCCTCATTATCCTCCAATCTCTCAACTCTACTCCTCTTCTCCTCTGTTATGACAACTTCATTTAAATCATCGGACAGGAACCGTTTCTTACCACTGATCTGAAATTGGGGTTTTGGTAGTGAGGGTATTGGCGGAAGTGGGAGAGTTGGTTTCGGGTCGGGTTGGGATGGAATTGGCTCAGATCCGGGTTCTGAAGGTGGGGACGGAGGTTGTTGAGGAAAATCATCTTCGAAATCGAGGTCATCGTCAGGGTAAGAGGTGTTGGCTTCAAGCCATTCGAGCTCAGCTGCATCTGGAATCTCCATATCCATTTGATTCTCCGATTTCACACACTGTCTCTCTCTAAAATGTTCTTAGCTATATTTTGGCGGGAAATGAGAAGGGAAAGGGGCGGCAAGGAATGTGAAGTTCCGTAACTACCCTCTGCATATTCATAAGCAACTATTTTTCTGAAAAAACAGGTTTTACCCTCAACTAGTTATACGAAAAAGACATGTGTGTTATAAAATAAAAACTATAAAGTAAAGACAAGTATAGAGAGAAACTGATATATTATTCAAATTTCAAACTTATGTACATAATGAACTGCAGACTCCTCTATTTATAGAAGAAAGGAAGCAGCTGCGAGGCTTTTCAGGAAGCAGCTGCAAGGCTTTTCTTTAGGTGCTTGTAAGCTGTCTGCATGAGCTGCTTGCAACCTGCCTGTTTAATAAGAAGCTGCTGCAAATTATTTCATTGAGCTGCTTGCAACCTGCCTGCATCAGCTGCTTGTAGATAAACTTCAACAGAGTACTAAATGGATAATCGTCTTCAGGAAGATTATCTATAGCGGGGTAATAAATGGACATCCACAATATAATTATTTTTATAACACTCCCCCTTGGATATTCATTAAAAAGGTATTGTGCCTCGTTAAAACCTTACTAGGAAAAAACCTTGTGGGGAAAAAATCCTAGTGAAGGAAAAAGAGTACATATATTTAGTAATACGCATTGCTAGCTGCCTNTATTCCCTACTTGTTTCATGAATAGCTATTATTTCAACATGATTTGAAGAAGTAGCAACAATAGATTGTTTTGTGGAGCGCCATGATATGATAGTACCTCCACATGTAAACACGTATCCGGTTTGAGATCTAGCTTTATGGGGATCAGATAAATAACCTGCATCTGCATAACCAACAAGATCTGCATTATCTTTGTTAGCATAAAATAAACTCATATCAAGAGTTCCCTTTAAAAATCGCAATATATGCTTAATCCAGTTCCAATGTCTCCGTGTAGGAGAAGAACTACATCTTGCTAGTAAATTAACAGAAAATGCTATATCAGGCCTTGTAGCATTAGCAAGATACATTAGTGCATCAATTGCACTGAGATAGAGTACTTCGGGATCAAGGAGTTCCTCATCCTCTTCTGGAGGTCGGAACAAATCTTTATTCACTTCAAGTGATCTAAAAGCGTTTTAGGACCCTTTCTGTATAGGCAGATTGATGGATAAAGATCCCGTCTGCTAAATGTTCAATTTGCAGACCAAGACAAAGTTTTGTCTTTCCAAGATCTTTCATCTCAAATTCTTTCTTAAGATATTCAATTGCCTTTTGGAGCTCTTCTGGAGTTCCAACAAGATTTATGTCATCAACATAAACAGCAAGTATAACAAATTCTGATGCCATTTTCTTTATAAAAATACATGGACAAATAACATCATTTATGTAACCTTCTTTCAGCAAATATTCACTAAGGCGATTATACCACATGCGCCCAGATTGCTTTAAACCGTACAAAGATCTTTGTAATCTGATTGAATACATTTCCTGAGATTTTGCTTCAGGCATTTTAAATCCTTCAGGGATTTTCATATAAATTTCATTATCAAGTGAACCGTACAGATAAGCTGTAACTACATCCATTAGATGTATTTCAAGCTTTTCATGTAGTGCTAAACTGATGAGATATCGAAATGTTATGGCATCCATAACGGGTGAATATGTTTCTTCAAAATCGACTCCAGGTCGTTGTGAGAATCCTTGTGCAACAAGGCGAGCCTTGTATCTTTCAACTTCATTTTTATCATTCCTTTTTCGCACAAAAACCCATTTATGACCAACTGGCTTTATACCAACAGGTGTTTGGACTATTGGTCCAAAGACCTCTCTTTTAGCAAGTGACTTCAATTCCGATTGAATTGACTCTTGCCACTTTGGCCAATCAGATCTTTGTCAACATTCTTCGACAGATCGGGGTTCAAGATTCTCATTATCTTGCATAATGTCAAGTGCAACATTATATGCAAAAATATTATCCACCACTATTTCAGATCGATTTAAATTAATCTCATCACCAGTAGAACTTATTAAAAGTTCCTCACTCACTTGAGTCTCAGGTTCATTGATTTCTTCAGGAATCTCAGAACTAATCAGATCTTGGGTCTCTTCAGGAGATCCCTTCATAATATCATTTTGATCATTTATCAATTTTCTTTTTATAGGATTTCGATCCTTAGAACCCAAAGGTCTACCACGTTTCAGGCGTGCTTTAGGTTCACTAGCTCTCATGCTAGTAGATGGTCCTGTTTGGACATCAATTCGGATAGGCACATTCTCTGCAGGGATATGCGACTTAGTTATCCTTTTCAAATCAGTGAATGCGTCTGGCATTTGATTTGTTATATTCTGTAAATGGATGATCTTCTGTACCTCCTGATTACATATAGGGGTACGTGGATCAAAGTGAGATAATGATGAAACTTTCCACACAATTTCTCTTTTGATTTCCTTTTTCTCTCCCCCTAATTGTGGGAAATTTGTTTCATCAAATCGACAATCTGCAAATCGAGCAGTAAATAAATCTCCCGTCAATGGTTCAAGATAGCGAATAATAGAGGGTGATTCAAACCCAATATATATTCCTAACCTTCTTTGGGGGCCCATCTTAATGCACTGCGGTGGTGCTACTAGCACATATACAGCACATCCAAAAATTCGTAGATGGGCAATATTTGGTTCATGACCAAAAACTAATTGTGACGGAGAATATTTATTATAATGTGTCGGTCTAAGACGGATAAGTGATGCTGCATGCAAGATAGCATGGCCCCAAGCAGTAGTGGGCAATTTTATTTTCATAAGTAGTGGTCTTGCTATCAATTGCAGGCGTTTAATAAATGACTCTGCAAGGCCATTTTGAGTATGAACATAAGCTACAGGATGTTCAACTTTTATCCCAACTGATAGACAGTAATCATCAAAAGCTTGAGATGAGAATTCTCCAGCATTATCAAGGCGAATAGCCTTTATAGGATAATCTGGGAATTGTGCCCTTAATCGAATTATTTGGGCTAATAGCTTTGCAAACGCCAGGTTGCGAGATGATAGTAGGCACACATGAGACCATCTTGAAGATGCATCTATTAGGACCATAAAATATCTAAACAACCCACTTGGTGGGTGAATAGGTCCACATATATCCCCATGTATACGTTCTAAGAAGGTAGGGGACTCAATGCCAACCTTCATTGGTGATGGTCTAGTGATCATTTTGCCTTGATAACAAGCATCACAAGAAAATTCGTCATTTGTAAGAATCTTCAGGTTCTTTAATGGATGCCCACTCGAATTTTCAGTAATTCGTCTCATCGTTATTCATCCAGGATGGCCCAAACAGCCATGCCAAAGCACAAAAATATTTGAATCAGTAAACTTCTGGTTTACGATAGAGTGTGCTTCAATTGTACTAATCTTTGAATAGCATAAGCCAGAAGATAAAGTTGGTAACTTTTCTATAATGCATTTCTGGCCAAAAATATTCTTTGTAATACAAAGATATTCCACATTCATTTTATCTATTGTCTCAACATGATACCCATTTCGGCGGATATCTATAAAACTCAACAAGTTTCTTCGGGACTTGGAGGAGTACAATGCATTGTCGATAATAAGTTTTGTTCCCTTAGACAGAAATACAATAGCTTTTCTGGAGCCTTCAATCAAACTTATATTACCAGAAATTGTAGAAACATTTGCTTTTTCTTTATGCAAATAAGAAAAGTATTTCTGATCTCTGAATATGGCATGAGTTGTTCCACTATCAATTACACAAATATCTTCATGATTGGTCTTTGATCCAAACATAATTTGAGGATTATCCATATTCTTCAAAATGACATAAACAAAATAAATATGATAGTAGACGTTATTATCAAAGTATAACTTTTATTTATATACAATAATTACATAACCATACTATCTACTACAAACAACAAAAATTAAAATATTTACATTTCTACAGATTCACTACCGATCACATGACTTGTTTCTCCTTCTGGGAGTGCAAAATAATCAGCTACATCCAAATGCATGAAGTCTAAATTATCTTCATAAATAAAATTTGCTTCATCATTTTTCTCTGTCTTCTTCAGGGAGGCTTGATACAGCTCAACCAGGTGCTTTGGCGTACGACATGTACGTGACCAGTGCCCTTTTCCTCCACATCTATAGCATGCATTTTCTGGCTTTGCTGGTTGCACCACTTCATGCTTTTGTTCCTTCCTTTTCCCCTGCTGGTGGTGATGAGGGTTCTTTGGTGCATTATTATTACCATGATTAGAGTTTCCTCCCCGACCACGGCCATGAC